TGAACCGAAATTTGATAGAGATCAAATATTCGAATATTCCTTAGAGAAAAGAATGTCACTATATAATCCCTAAGTACTCGATTTTGGCTTGTCACATGAAACTCTAAACCCTAAGCATTGTCAGGAGTTGATCTTTAAATATCGTCCAAGACTGGTATCCATTTCATCATAGCTGTCTCGGATCTATTCAATAATTGTTAATTAGCCACACTACAAGAAAAATTCTTATTAGTGTTGCAAATTTCGTCACTACATATGAAATTTCGTCATAAATTCCTGAGTTGCAAATTTATTTGTGACGAAATTTGATCATTTGTGTCAAAAATTGTCATTTGTGACGAAATTTTTTGTCACAAGTAAACTTTTTTCTTGTAGTGCCACCTCTTCAAGAGCATCTCTGTGACCTTGTCACGCACTTCAGATCTATTGGTACATCAACTCCTCGTTACCTTTATAGAATTTGCCCATAACACTACTAGTTTTGATCTAAACAAAAACAAAAAAAATTCTCAATACAATAAAGGGAAATTTTTGAATCTAAATAACAAAAAAATAATCGAAAAAATAATTATTTATAATAGGTTGGGCCAAGACTCACATAAAAGTACCCAAAATTGAAAAGAAGTGAAAATATTAAGGTTACTCACAAAACGGCATAAATGCGTTATAGAAAATAGTGCATTAAAAGATACACTTGGTGTTAAAGTTTAAAAAATTTGAATAATTTTTTTTTTTCGTGAATTTTTTTTTGAATAGTTTAATGTTCACCGAACAAACACTTTAGCCGGATAATTCAAAAATGAAAACGTGATGCACTTTTTGATGGAAACGTTTGAATTTTTCTTCTGACTTGTTGAAATAATTTTTTTTTAGAAATCAATAAAATATTATCCTTAAAAAGAAAGAAAGAAAAAGACCTAATGCAAATTAGGGGAAAACTTAAATGGAAATGACAAAAGAAGAATAATTTGAAAAGGAAATATTTTGTAATGAATTGGGCCAAGGCTCATATAAAAAGATTTAAAATTATAAAAAGGTGGAGATATTAAGAAAACTCATAAAGACACAAAGAGAGCTTTAAATGCCATATTTGCTAGTGTTCATTGAACCGAAATTTGATAGAGATCAAATATTCGAATATTCCTTAGAGAAAAGAATGTCACTATATAATCCCTAAGTACTCGATTTTGGCTTGTCACATGAAACTCTAAACCCTAAGCATTGTTAGGAGTTGATCTTTAAATATCGTCCAAGACTGGTATCCATTTCATCATAGTTGTCTCGGATCTATTCAATAATTGTTAATTAGCCACACTACAAGAAAAATTCTTATTAGTGTTGCAAATTTCGTCACTACATATGAAATTTCGTCATAAATTCCTGAGTTGCAAATTTATTTGTGACGAAATTTGATCATTTGTGTCAAAAATTGTCATTTGTGACGAATTTTTTGTCACAAGTAAACTTTTTTCTTGTAGTGCCACCTCTTCAAGAGCCATCTCTGTGACCTTGTCACGCACTTCAGATCTATTGGTACATCAACTCCTCGTTACCTTTATAGAATTTGCCCATAACACTACTAGTTTTGATCTAAACAAAAACAAAAAAAATTCTCAATACAATAAAGGGAAATTTTTGAATCTAAATAACAAAAAAATAATCGAAAAAATAATTATTTATAATAGGTTGGGCCAAGACTCACATAAAAGTACCCAAAATTGAAAAGAAGTGAAAATATTAAGGTTACTCTCAAAACGGCATAAATGCGTTATAGAAAATAGTGCATTAAAAGATACACTTGGTGTTAAAGTTTAAAAAATTTGAATAATTTTTTTTTTTCGTGAATTTTTTTTTGAATAGTTTAATGTTCACCGAACAAACACTTTAGCCGGATAATTCAAAAATGAAAACGTGATGCACTTTTTGATGGAAACGTTTGAATTTTTCTTCTGACTTGTTGAAATAATTTTTTTTTAGAAATCAATAAAATATTATCCTTAAAAAGAAAGAAAGAAAAAGACCTAATGCAAATTAGGGGAAAACTTAAATGGAAATGACAAAAGAAGAATAATTTGAAAAGGAAATATTTTGTAATGAATTGGGCCAAGGCTCATATAAAAAGATTTAAAATTATAAAAAGGTGGAGATATTAAGAAAACTCATAAAGACACAAAGAGAGCTTTAAATGCCATATTTGCTAGTGTTCATTGAACCGAAATTTGATAGAGATCAAATATTCGAATATTCCTTAGAGAAAAGAATGTCACTATATAATCCCTAAGTACTCGATTTTGGCTTGTCACATGAAACTCTAAACCCTAAGCATTGTCAGGAGTTGATCTTTAAATATCGTCCAAGACTGGTATCCATTTCATCATAGCTGTCTCGGATCTATTCAATAATTGTTAATTAGCCACACTACAAGAAAAATTCTTATTAGTGTTGCAAATTTCGTCACTACATATGAAATTTCGTCATAAATTCCTGAGTTGCAAATTTATTTGTGACGAAATTTGATCATTTGTGTCAAAAATTGTCATTTGTGACGAAATTTTTTGTCACAAGTAAACTTTTTTCTTGTAGTGCCACCTCTTCAAGAGCCATCTCTGTGACCTTGTCACGCACTTCAGATCTATTGGTACATCAACTCCTCGTTACCTTTATAGAATTTGCCCATAACACTACTAGTTTTGATCTAAACAAAAACAAAAAAAATTCTCAATACAATAAAGGGAAATTTTTGAATCTAAATAACAAAAAAATAATCGAAAAAATAATTATTTATAATAGGTTGGGCCAAGACTCACATAAAAGTACCCAAAATTGAAAAGAAGTGAAAATATTAAGGTTACTCACAAAATGGCATAAATGCGTTATAGAAAATAGTGCATTAAAAGATACACTTGGTGTTAAAGTTTAAAAAATTTGAATAATTTAATGTTCACCAAACAAACACTTTAGCCGGATAATTCAAAAATGAAAACGTGATGCACTTTTTGATGGAAACGTTTGAATTTTTCTTCTAACTTGTTGAAATAATTTTTTTTTAGAAATCAATAAAATATTATCCTTAAAAAGAAAGAAAGAAAAAGACCTAATGCAAATTAGGGGAAAACTTAAATGGAAATGACAAAAGAAGAATAATTTGAAAAGGAAATATTTTGTAATGAATTGGGCCAAGGCTCATATAAAAAGATATAAAATTATAAAAAGGTGGAGATATTAAGAAAACTCATAAAGACACAAAGACAGCTTTAAATACCATATTTGCTAGTGTTCATTGAACCGAAATTTGATAGAGATCAAATATTCGAATATTCCTTAGAGAAAAGAATGTCACTATATAATCCCTAAGTACTTGATTTTGGCTTGTCATATGGAACTCTAAACCCTAAGCATTGCCAATAGTTGATCTCTGAATATCGTCCAAGACTGGTATCCATTTCATCATAGCTATCTCAGATCTACTCAATAATTGTTAATTAGCCACCTCTTCAAAAGCAATCTCTGGTGACCTTGTCACGCACCTCTGATCTATTGGTACATCAACTCCTCGTTACCTTTGTAGCATTTGCTCATAACAATACCGGTTTTGATCTACTTGTTGGTGCCCCGTTGTCTCTTCTTGGTGGTTAGAGGCCCAAATCCGATCTATCTAGTTTGTGGATTGTTGGAATTCCGTGTGTTTGAGGTTGGTTCACTCATAAGCCTCAAGTCATTTGAAGTGACGATTCATCTTTTTCCCCTGCTAATCTTTCGTGCCACTCTTACAATCATCTATGGAAAATTCAATGGTAAAAACTATCTATTAAATAATAAAATTTATCGGTTAGTTAGCCTTTATTAAAACCTGTTGTGAAATGATCCCATCCCCTTTAATGTATTTTTAGTTTAGTCCTTAATTTCAGTTATCAAAATATTTAGTATGGTAAACTTAGTCATTTTTCGTTTGATAAGTGATTAAACCAAGTCATGTTACACATAAGTTAACAACTAAATGAAGAGCATATGGGTGAACCTATTGCAATAGTTGTAATAGTTTAGTAACTAAAAGATTTTATAGTTTACAATCTTCAAAAAAAAAATAAAAAAAATTATAGTTTACGATTGCTGTTGTAAATGGACAAAAGCTTAGGATTCTGAAGGGACATAGACTAAGAATTATGCATCATCAGTCCTTTTATTTAGTGATAGAAAGATGGGAGTATTATTTCTCTGTGGCAGAAATAATATTTCCTACCACAAACACAATAAAAAATGAGGAGAATACTTTGGTAGAATATGAGAGAGAATATTTTGATGAAAGAGAATTTTTTGTGTTTGTGACAAGAAGTATTATTTTTGCGGCAGCTGCAGAAATAATACTCCCTAGAAATATATATTGAAATATAATTGTTGTAGTTTGGTGATTATTCTTAAAGTATTTTATAATTTAAGGTATTTTTATAGACTTGCCCGAGTGATATATATACTTCCCAAATGCCAAAGTTGTAAAATCAATTTTTTTATGTTTTATTTTTTTTTTGGGTTCCCATGAACCCTACCCAAATTGATAGATTTTGGTCTATGTTAATTATTAAATACGAGACAAATTAAGATGATTAATTTTAAACTACAGCGAAATACTGTTTTTTTTTTCCCCTTACTACAAATGAGAGAAAAAATAAGTTAATCTAATTTTACCCATCAGCATATCAATGGCATATTTAAGATTTTTAGGAAATCTACTTTTTTTTTTTTTGGGATAGAGGAAATCTACTTATCTAACCTAAGAAGCAAAAGATCTCCATTAAAGCACATGATCACCAAGTAGAATTACTAATTAAATGAGGATCCAAACCATGACATATAATATATATAAAGTCTTGTCCTGATCTCTTCAACTATTTATGACAATTCCCACCGTCACCCATTATTATTTATTTTATGAACTTTGTTCATTTCTAATTTCGTGGATCACTTATACTAAATTTTTATGCTTCCTTTATCATTCTCAGACTATGGAATCGTCTCCACAAAACTTGAATCCTACTCCATCAGAGTCAAGTTCCACAAACACAAAGGGTAATGGGTTCTACATTGAACGACCAAGTGACCTTGCCGTTGTGGTTTCACTATTATTCGAGCCAACTAGATTGAAAATATGCGAACTTGCATATTCAGCTATGGATGAGTTATTGAAAATAGCTGTTACTGGTAAACCTTTATGGCAACAAAGAAAAGGCCAGAAGTTCGATACCATGGATAAAATAGAATATCTGATAAAATATGGCGAGATTAAAGAAACAATGTATGAAATAACTAAGCTGGCTAAAGTTGGAGAGCCTCAAGTTTTGCCAAGCTACAACTCATTACATGTTGGATATGCTCCAACACCAAATACAACTCTAAGAGAGCCTTTAAAAATTGAAGGTTCAAGAGATATACGATATGTTAAAACGAATGCACTCAACATTGTCCAAATGTTTATGAATGTGGTAGGTTATTTCATAACTCTCAGACTCTCAGTTACTCATAGATGACTATAATAGTGATTTGAACTAACCATGATATCGATTATCTCTCTCCCCCCCCCCCCCCCCCCCCCCCCCCCCCCTTTTTCTTTGATTCTCTCTTCTTCTTTTTGGTAAATAATTAGGATCAATGGTCGACAACATTTTATAATATCGTTTCAAGAGCAGCATTCCTTGGAGTCATTGTAAATGGAGTCGAAGGAAGCTGTGATGGGAGATTGCAAGTGGTAAGTTAGCCATTATCTCTTATTATAAGTAATGCTTTAAATGCTTTCATGGACACACAATATATCATTTATGAGAAAAAAACAAATGCTGCTAAAAGCTCGAGAACTTATAGGCTCGAGCTTTTCAACCTTCGTGTTATTAGAAATTTTTGAGATATGTTTAAGTCAATGCATAAAAAAAGAAAACAATATAGGATTGAGATGAGCATGTATGCACTCAATTTTTCATTAGAAATATCCGTTAATATCACGAAAGTTTTTAATTGTCGTGCTTCATAATTAATTCATAATTAACAGTCTATGATATAACTTGAAATTCACTTTTCTGTATCCATTTGACTTGGCTAATTACATGATGATTGAAAAATACCATGAACCCAATTAGTCCCTGTAGATAAAACCCGTCTATGAGAAGGTCATGTGTTCACTATAATGTGTTAATTACATTGTAAACGTTAGCAATGTTGAAAATATAATTGTACACTTTCTATCAAATTTTTTTTTTTTTTTTAAATCTAGGTACTTAAATTTCAAGTCAATGTACATAAATTTTTATCTTTTAGGTGTATGCTTAGATGGGATAGAGAAGGTAGAAAATGGAAGATTTTAAGTAAACCTTCCCCTTGTTATAAGGGTATGTTAAAACGAAGGAAGGAATATTAGGGATTTTCTTGTAAGCCTATATTTTCTTCCCCTTCCAACTTCCAAGCATAGCCTTAAAGTTCTTGTAAGTGAAAATATTTTTATTACCAAAGCAATGAAGAGAAACTTAGAGGCTGTTTGATTTCTGTTTCCAAAATCAGTTTTTTTATCTTAAAAAAAAAAAAAACCTATTTGATAAGACTTGTTTTGTAAAAATAATTTTAAAAATTATAACTCAGATTCAGATAACATATCTGAGTTGTTTTTATTTTGTTTTAAATTTTAACATTCAAAATACAAAAGACACCTATTTTATTAATTATTCTACAAAATAGTTTAAAAAAAAAAAACAGAACACAAAGCAGATATTTTTATCTATTATAACTACGTTATCTTCCCTATTATTTTCTTTTGATTCCTTTCTCTCTTTTGTCATTCTGATCAACTCCCAAACATACTTTTGGTTCAATGTGAGAAAAGGAAATGAAAAGCAGGATGATGTGTGACATAGTTTGCATTTTATATATATTTTGCCCGGCCTACACAACCTAGTGAATTGGGCCAATCATCTCAAGGCCGAATTATTTGCCGGCACCGCATAGGTGAATATGTGGGCCTCACTACAGGGGATCCCTTTTTATCTTTGCACAACTTTTATCATACACTCATGATGGTGAGGCGATGCCTCAATGCAATACTAAGTGCATTGCCTAACGGTTTTTGACTCTTCTTTTTTCTCTTTTATTATTAGGGAATATTCTCTCTCTTATGTAAATCCCTCTTCTCCAACAAAGGAGACACTCGATACCTAATATTCTTATAAGTTGTTACTTTGTTGGATTTTAGAGCTATCGTAGTCTACACTCATCCCCTTCTTCACCGTCATACCTGTGATAGCACTTCCAGTGAGTGTCATTGATCTTTTGTCAATACCACTACTTCTTTGAGCAACCGTAATGCACAACAGCTTAATATATAAACTTAACACGGGGGAAATTTTTGTGTTTAGATCCGCTCCAATGGCAGAAGGAAAGGTTTTTTTTTAATTAATGACTATAATTATCCCAATTTGAAAGATTTTAAGTTAACATCCACTTAAGGAAAAGAATCTTATTACTCAATCTCTCATTCTCTAAATCTTTTGCTTTCCATTCAAATCATTTTTCTCCTCACCATTTCCTCCCAACTCCAAACCATACCATAAGAGAAAATAGATAATTAGTTAAGAAAAAGGAAAGAGCAATGTATATATGTCAAAGAAGCAACTATATTTTTTATGTTTTATTTCTAATGATTGATTTCTAGTATTCTAATTTTGAATGTTATTCTGGTTTGTATATATTTTCGCATGACATTAGTTATGCTTTATATGCATCCGAGATTACTGTTTCTAGGACTTTCAATTCTCAGGCAAACGTATGTGTTCTAATTTCAATGTATGTCCTCTTTATTTTTTAGATGACTGCAGAATTTCAATTGCCTACACCTTTAGTAGCGACCCAAGAGTGTTGTTTTGCAAGGTATTGTAAGAAGTTGTCTCATAATAAGTGGGTGGTGGTTGATATTTCGTTGGAGAAGGCTTTTTCTTGCCCAACAAATACATTTCGAAGAAGACCATCAGGCTGTTTGATTAAAGAAATGCCAAATGGATACTCTAAGGTTATTTCCTTATCCTAATGCTTCTTCTTTTTATAGGGTAAAAAAATCAATTAGTTCCCTTTATGTTAAATCAAATTTTCTATCTTCTCGCTCTGTTATCATCCTCTAATCGCAATAAACTATTATCAACTAAAAAAATCTCATATTTTCCTTCAATTTTGTTTCTTATCTCTTATTTGACATTATTTATTGGATAGACAAGAGTAGAGAAAAATTAGGTAGGACACAATATTTCTCTCTCTCGTAGATCCTTTGACATCAGTGTTAAATTTGAAATTTGACACCTCACATTAGCCATTAGATCAAAAAAGATCAATGATGTTACATACTTACAAATCAGAGTCGTTGATTTTTTTTATCTAATGGCTCTTAGATGAGGTGTCAAATTTCAAATTTGACACTGGTGTCAAAGGATCCTACCTCATATATATATAGGGCTTATCATTTCTCAAGATGCTTGAGATAATGTTATCTCCGGCTACTAAATCATAACCATACAAAGATGGATCAACGGTGATAAAGGAAGAGAGACAAAAAGGAAATCATAACCATTCAAAGGTAAATCAATTAATATACAGAAATAAATAAACAAAACGACATAGTTTTGAGGTGGCCGGAGATAATATTATCTCAAACAGCTTGAGAAATATATATATATATATATATATATATATATATATATATATATATATATATATATATATATATATATGTGAGACTAATAGATCATACTTCTCATTTCTTTCACATCTTTAGGTTATATGGGTGGAGCATGTGGTAACAGACTATAGGAATTTAAGCTCTCGGTTTCGGGACTTATTCTCCTCAGGTTTGGCCTTTGGGGCTACACGTTGGCTAAATGGTTTGGTTCGTTGCATTGAATGCTTCGAAACTCTAAAAGAAAAATCCACTCCAACACACTACGGCAGTAAGTCTATTTTACCTTTTTCTTAAATTTACGAAACAGACTGAATTTTTTTTTATTTAAGTAAAATTAGGACTTTTGAGTAGGGGCGTGCATGGAGCAGTTCGGTTCGGTTCGATTATTGTCAAAAATCAAATAAAACCAGTTTTAAACGGTTTGAATTTTAAATCGAACCACTTTTAAAAAAAAAAACCAATTTTTAATTTGTCCAAACCGGTTTGTGGTTTATAACTGGTTTTGAATTAAAACCGGTTGATTTTAATTCAAAACCGGTTTTAAATCAAAACCGGTTATCAAATTTAAAATCGATTTTTGATAGATTGTGCTATTTTTATAAGTAGTTGTTTGTTTCTCCCGGTTATAGGTAGTTGACCAATTATTTCTTTCAAGAATCTTCATTTTTTGGAACTCTCAGGATGAAATAATTTTTATAGAAATTGTTCACGTTATTTTTACAGAAAACATTTCCATCAAAATTTTCCGCAAAAATTTTTGACGAAAATATTTCTATCAAAATTTGTGATTAAAAACATATCTGTAAAAAAAATTGACGCAAATTTTTTTTGTCAAATTTTTTTACAGAATATAAATTTCGTCAAAAAATTTCCTTCAAAATATTTTACAAAAAAACATATTCATCGAAATTTTGGACGAATAAATATTTCTATCAAAAATTTTCATGAAACACATTTCCTTCGAAAACTTTTGACGGAAAAAAATTTCATCAAAATTCTTTATAGAATTCAAATTCCATCGAAAGTTCTCGACGGAAACATTTTCGTTAAACTTTTTGACAAAAAAATTTCCGTCGAAATTTTTAACGAAAAACATTTCCATCGAAAATTTTCGAGGAAAAATATTTCCGTCAAGTTTTTTGATAAAAAAACATTTCTATCAAAATTTTCAATGGAACACATTTCTATGAAAAAATTTCGTAAAATTTTTATGACAAACAATATTTCGATAAATTTTTTGACAAAAAAGTTTTTCGTCAAAATGTTTTATAAAAATATTTTTCGTCAAAGAATTCGAGGGAAATGATTGGAGGGAATTTAGATTCTGTAAAAAAATTTGACAAAAAAAATTTCCGTCGGGATTTTTTATAGAAATATTTTCCATAAAAAAAATTTCTGAAATATTTTTTGTCAAAATTTTTTACATAAATATTTTTGGTCAAAATTTTTTACGTATACATTTTTGGTCAAAATTTTCGCTGTAAATGTGTTTTGTTGGAAATATTTTTCGTAGAAAATTTGGACGGAAATATTTTTCGTAAAAAAATTTGACGAAATTATTTTCTGTCAAATTTTTTTATGAAAATGTGTTTCGTCAAAAATTTTTACTGAATTATTTTTCGTTGAAAAGTTTGACATAATTGTTTCTGTCAAAAGTTTCGACGAAATTTAGATTCTATCAAGAATTTTGACTGAAATATTTTGTCCCTAAAAAATTTATGTCAGTGATTATGACAAAATCTTGTTCCGTCTCTAGTTTCGACGAAATTTTTTTTCGTCTCTATTTTCTACGTAATATGATTTTTGTCAAAATTTTCGACGTAATATTTTTCTTCTATAAATTTTGTTAGTATTTGAGACTTTTCTAATAATGTCACATTTAAAAATGATTCATATTTATGTAATTTTCACATTTTGATGTCAAGTAGAAAAAATAATACTTATTTGTTCTTTAATTGTAAAATAATTTGGTTATGGATAACCATGGATAACCAATTATTTTTATGGTTTAGTAAATAACCAGTTTATAAAATAAAATGCAGTTTCATATGAAACCGATTTTTAAAAATAACCGATTTTTAAAATGTGGAGCAGTTTGGTTATGGATCGGTTTGGCTCTTTTGGACATTTTGAACATCCCTACTTTTGAGTTTGTATTGGTCTCATTTTTTTTATTTATCTCATAAAGAGGTGGGACCCACACCTTTATATTTTTTATCCACTCTCTCATCATTTATCTATCTTTTTCTCTCACTTAAAATGACACAACTTTACATTTTTTAAAATGATACACACTTTTTCCCTTTTTTTAATCTATAAAGCATATATAATTGAAGTGTTTCTCATGTTGCAAGAATTCCTGCAATAGTTTTTTAACTATGTACTCCCGGAAGTACATAATTAAAAGAAAACCAGCAACAATATTTTAACTATGTACTCTCCAGGGAGAGTACATAGTTAAAAATAATAATTTTAATATTATAATTATGTACTTCTAAAAATATATAGTTACAAAATTGTTGCAGGAATTCTTGTATCATAAAAAAAATAAACCAAGAACATTTAGCGTAGTCTGCCTATAACTTGTACCTAGAACCTTCTATAGGTAGGTTTGCTAAAGAAGATGGAAGAGAGGTGATCATTGATACGAGACTTGGCTTTCTTGAATTTTCTTGACCTTCTCGCGACTTATATTACAAATTAAAATACAAAACTACTTATAAGTCTACATGATACATGTTGACAACACTTACATTTAATTTAACCCTAAAATATTAAGTGCACCAATTAACTATGAATAATATGAATATGTCCACTATATAAACATCTTTAAGATTCTCACCATATGAGTTGATTTTATTCACAACTGCCAATACTCTTGTGGAATAATTAAGGAGAATATCTTATTATCTTTAGTACTCACCGCAATACTAAAAGACATAGTACATCGGTTATCTCATTAGTTGTGCTTCATCTTTTTATGGTCAATCCCACTTGCGTTTAGACTTTATTTGGAAATAATTGATTGTGTAGGAATATATTTTGATATGATTAAAATTTGAAGCTTTTGTTTGCATGAGCACCTCCAACTCATCGCTGAAACCTTCTAATTTTCTCTACTATTTGAACAGTGCATAACATGTTTAACTGCTTTAATTATAAGCGATCGAGCTGAATGATAGAACCCAAGAAAAATTCTATGTAGCTTAATTCTTCTTCTCTTTTACATAATTAAACAGTTTTGTTAGCTCAACCGGGACGGACAGGTCTCTTAAATTTGGCAGGAAGACTGATGAGAAACTTTTGTGCCCATATCAGTGCTTCCTCAACAAAACGATGGACGCAAGTTGCTTCACTTTCAGGTTCCTATGATTTGAGGATCATGGTTAAGGATATTATAAAGGATTCTGGTGGGAGACCTAAAGGTGCAATAATTATTTTCTCTACTTCTGTCTCGCTTCCAATTCCGCCACAACGGTTATTCAACTTCCTTCGTGACCCAAATTCTAGATCCAAGGTATATATGCAACATATTACTAATATTGGTATAGTTAATATAACGTTTTTTTTTTTTTTTTGGTAAGCTAATATAACGTTTTACATGCACTCCTTTTCGTTTGTTTCTTACAAATGGCGGGAGATTATATTTTTGTAAATTGGGGTTCAAATAATCCTCGAGGTGGGCAAAGTGAATACATAATAAATTAAAATCATTATAGATGTTGTAGGATTCTTCGTGCTTAAGGATGTTGTTATTCACATAAGAATTTTTTATATACAACTTTTAACTTTTCTTTTTAGATTTATTAGATTACAAGGGAAGGATCCGTTTACAAACTTTTTTTATAAATTTTTGCAAATTACACTATGTATTCCTGAGAGAACATAGTGTAATCTAGTGTTCTCTCCGGAGTACATAATGTAGTTTGTAAGAGTTTATAAACAAAAAATTTATAAATATAACCCTCACCAGATTACAATTACTTCTAATATTTTTAAGGGAAATATTACTCTCTTTTTACATAAGATAACTTCTTTCTACTCTTTCACTTCGATTTTCGCACCCCACCTTTTTCTTTTTTTCTTGTAATGGTGGGACCCACTCATTTTCTCTCTAGAACATAAGATAACTATCTTATGTAAAAGGAGAATAATAAAACCCTATTTTTAAACAACTTTTATTTTGCATAGTTTCATTAAAATAAACTTGATAGTTTCTTATACCATTTTTCTATGTTAAAACATGAAATAAAAATAAAAAAAACTGGATCAAAGTATATCAATAGAATAACAAAAAAATAAAATAATAATACTAATATTTTAGGAAATGACCGGAGAAAATCTTAACAACACATCCTTGTTTAAAAGTTTTAATTGCATCTGCTTACGTATTTCAATTCTTTGCTTCCTGTGGATTAATCATAGTGGTATATGCTTTTACGGGAATATTCTGGTCGAGAACTCGTTTATGTTATTCAAGGCAATGATCCAAGAAACCGTGTTTCCATCATTCAAATGAATGTAAGCATCTTCTTTTTCTTCCATTTCCTTTTCCAGAATTAAATTCAAACCTTAAACTCACCTAACATGTTCAATTTTGTAGACTGGTGACGACCAGTTAGGTAAGTTTTTTGTTCAAGAGAGCTATGAAGACTCAATAGGCTTCTCTTACATAGTTTATTCTATGGTTGAGAAGTTAGCTTTATCAAGTCTTTTAAATGGAGGGGATCCAAACAACGTGGTTATCACACCTTCAGGGTTTACTATCCTTCCTGGTGGGATGAGTGACGGTGGCACTGGAAGTATTCTAACTATTGCATTCAATATGTTTCAAAGTATAACTAGTGTGCCAGTCTTCTTACCCCCTGAATCAGTTGCTGAGTTCAACAAAATCATGGCTTACACTGAAACTGGAATAAAGAATGCGCTTCTTTGAAATAATCTTTGATAGATTATTTGGTATTGGAATTAAATTTCACAGATTCGAAATGACTTATTCAATGACATGATGAAACATAATGAAGACTTTATTCTACTTCGTTTTCTATGATATTTCCTTGTTGTGAGAACAATTTGAATATGAAATTCTTTGTGTACTTTCAAAATTTACTTCATGGTTTGTTGCTAGATTTTAAAGAATGTTCGCAGTTTCAGTATTTATATTTGTGAATGAATTACTATCTTATAAAAAATTATTGTGTCACAACATAATTTGAGTAGTTCATTCCTTCTATTTTAGAAAAGATGCATGTTGTTGAATGTTTATAGATAGTGGTTAGATGAGTGCTCCTTTTACATCGCAGCCACCATTAAATTAAGGGGATATCTTCATCTTATCAACTTCTTTGAAAAGATTTTTGAGAATCTCCCAAGCTTCTTTTGCCTTTGTTGCACAAGCTACCTTTTGATACATTGTATCATCCAAGGCCGCATGAATAATGCTACGAGCAAAATTTGGAGTTGCTTAAATATTTTTTTACCATTTTTTTTTCTTTAATTGGGCTTGACTGAAAGCTCCTCTATCCATTTCTAGAGTTGCAAGTATCGAGTCTCAACTATCTCCTTTAATGCTTCTTAGGAGCCAATAATTGCATTCATATGAATATACCATTAATTATCGTCATTGTCTTTTGTGAGTTCGGAACCGAAATAGTATATTAGACATTTTCTTAAGAAAAAATTATTAAGATCTGATACCGCTTTAGAGAAGATGTTAGAAAAGGAATCGTTCATATATTAATATAGACTCACTTGATTTGATATCTTGGCTTCCTCCTCACTTAAATGACATGCAAGACCATTTATAAATACACATATATAATACCTTTTCTCAACATGTACTTATTATGAACTTAACCCCTAAATATCAAATTAATGCTTCCATTGACTAATCATATGCATGAGTAAATACTTCTAACCTACTAATACACCTAATTATATACACCTCCAAAGTGTTGTTAAACCCGGACCGAGCATCAACCCGGTCGGAGCACTGGGTCACTGGTCGGACCGGTGGATCACTGGTCGGACCGGTTGACCTGGATATATATTTTATATATATAAATATATGTATATAAATATGAAGAATCAGCATTTGGGTGCAACTTGAGAAACTTTAATTTTTCGTGCTCACTGGATGCATATGTAAAGACTTCAGAAAAAATCCCAAATCTTGAAAAATGAACACAATAGCTCTTCTTCCTGGTCAGTGTATGCATATGTAAAGATTTTTTTGTTTGGATAGTGTAGCAACATATAACCCAAGCTAATACCATCAATATCATCAGAAAGTAGTTCAAGACAAATACCTGCATGTCAGGGGACCAATATAGTTTTATCATCGAAAGTTCCTATAAAACACAACAGAAAATTATCTGGACAACTAAAGAAACACGGGTGCTGTAATGTTGGGTAATAAAGTGCCAACAAGAGCAAAATAATAAGTCTACTGTAGATGAGATAAGAATGTTGAAGCTATAAGCGGATATGTTAAAAAATATTATATTACGAATAATTTGTCCGTTAGAAAGTTGGAGTAGCACCTATGAGGAGAGATGATGGAAACTTGTCTAAGGTGGTCTGGTCAAGTGAGATGCAGAACGATAAAGGTTCCAGTGAGAAAAAAATATAGATCAAATGGAAGATAGTCCAATAAGAAAGGGTAGGTGAACACGTAAAAAACATGAGGAGAAGCTATTGAAAAAGAAGATAGTCCAAACATTAGCGGCGAAGAAGACAACCTGGGTCCTGGAGCGACGCGGCGGTGACGAAGAAGACCACCTAGAGCAACGCGGCGGCGACGAAAAAGATTGGGAATTTCGCACGGTTTAGCCATTTAGGCTTTAGGGATTTTGTCAACTTTAGCGACTGATTTCGTAAACAATTTTATTTTTTTCACTTATTGTGTGATTTTTCATTTTTGTAATTTTTTTTTTTACTCCGACCCGGATCGGTTCACAAAACCCGGAGGGTCAACGGGACCCGCTAAAAACCCGACGGGTCGTGCGGGTCGATGGGGGTTGATTACTTATCCGATCCAAAAGATGACCCAAACCGATCACCCAACCGGATTAACGGAACCCGGGTCGACCCGGCCGGGTCGGGCCGGGTTTAACAACACTGCCTCCAACTCATCGCCAAAGCCGTCTAGTTATCTCTTTTATTTTAACTGTATATAGCATGTTTAACTGCTTCATTTTAAGCTAGCTGAACGGGGGAACCCAAGAATTCACTTGGAAATTATCTAGTGTCCTGGTTTTTGGTATAATGTCCAATAAAACGAAGAACATAGACAAAAATGCACATCCCTTCCATATTGTTGAAATACATAAGCAAAACAGAAAATGTCACATTAAAATTATCCTAAGTAAAAACTATAAGATTAACAAGTCGATACGATTAAATAAAATCCTTTTAATATTAAAAATTAATTAATTTTAAAATTTAATACAAAATAATAAATTAAAATAAGTTTGGAGCCCTATGCAAAAACTATGAAATTAATGATATAAAACACATACAACAATATAAAAGATTGCCAATCTATCAATATATAAAATAAAACAAATGAAGGAAGGAGAAAAAGCATAAATGCATGAAAGGAAATAATTATTAATTAAAAAGAGAAGGTAAGTAAAGTAAATGCATGAAAGGAAACAATTATTAATTAAAAAGAGAAGGTAAGTAAAGTTACGTGAGAGGAGACAATATTTGGTGTGTGAAGTCAAATTGTGGATAATCACCCCAATTCTTCTAAAAGAATTATTATGACACAAGTTTAGTTAAGTTCAAGTGCCTTTTCAACTCTTTTGGAGAGTTTTGGGTACAAAACACATAAGGAGGGGTTCCTTATATAGAGGGGAAGGAAGGAGGAGGAGGAGACAAGACTACTCCAATGTAGGACATAAAAAATAAGGGTATATCTTCTATCCATGTGGGACTTGAATCTTTTCTTAATCCAATTCTTTTCTTTGATGATTTTTTTTTTCTATCAACTAAAAACAAGGACAAAATTAGATATTCACAAAACTACCAATAATGAATTAAAAAAAATTATGACGCGATCACAGAGAATAAATTCTTTATATTTATTTTTATATAAATTATATTATAATTTAATGAACAAGCATATTGTAATGTATAAAAAAATTAATTGTACTTTTCAAAAATTATACTGAAGTAATCATTTTTAAAAAAATAAAAAAATAATTTATCGTATTGAATGAAATTATTTATTAGAATATGAAGGTTACCAATTATTATTATTCTTAATAAAACATAATTTAGGGTGGTTATACATACTAACCGTTTAAAATTAAATTTTATTATATGGGTAATGCTTTTCTTATGCTACTCGAGAAAGATTATCTCATGACATAGACTAATATTATTAAAATCGGCCCGGTCAATGTATCGGGTCACTGGTTGAATTGTATGACCCGATGATTATATATAAATCTATAATTTATATTAAAAAAATTATACATATATTCAAATAGCTGAAAAAAAATAATATAAATTCTAAATATTTTAATATAAAAAATAATAAATTATACATTATTGTCCAATAAAGGATCAAACAAATACATAATGCTTGTTATATTGGTGTTTCAGGATCGGTAAACGACATCTCTAACTATCAAATCAAAATTTCCTGCATAGTACATAACTGGGATAATATTAGTATTGTAGGCACATAACTTATGTAAGTCAATAAGTAACAAATCACTCAAATATGTTAATTATGATTTTTTTTTTGGAAAACTTTTTTTTTTTGAAAATATTTATTTTGAAAAACCGGGGCCGGGTCACCGATTTTTCACCAAAACTAGCCAGGTCCACCAGGTCGTACCGAGTCTGATACTTGACCAATCCAATATGATAAACGGACCAGTCAGATGACCGATTCACCGGGTTCCGGGTCGACCTGACCAGTCCGATCCATTTTCACAACATTGCATAGACCCTTTGAAATTTGTGCCATCAATTTCTTTTTTTTATAGTGCGGGATCCACTTGAAAATATCTCTGTAATATAAGAAACAATAACCCCTTATTATATTAATAGGAAAAAAAAACACGGCCTGTAATCACTTTTGTTTAACCATACGTATTAGAATGATAGTGAAAATACAATAATATAATACCACAATTTACTAAATATTTTAAAAACGTAGCAAAATTACTTTAGAATTATTTTGTTTTTGTTTAATCTCGATAAATAAATAAATAATAATTAATGTTTTCCTCATTTATTCACTCATCTATTCGTTCATACAGAAAAACCCCAAACGTTATCTTTGTCCTTTGCAAGCTTAACCCCAAATGAAATGCAGTTCCTTCTTCAACACTTAGCTTCAGACCATTGAGTTCTCATTCGCCATTATTATTACCTTTTTCAAACAATTTCTCTTTACATCATCAGCTCTCATCTAGATTTTGACAAATGCAATTTTCCGAAGGGAAGCTAGAGTTATTTAAACATGTGAAATTTCCATGGATGAGGATGGAACCATAACCTCCACCTTTGGTGTGATGGTTATTACTATCAGACCAAACACACAATCCATTCATATCCAAGTCAAAATATTCATTGTTGTGAAGATGGTATAGAATACTAGAATCAATTTTATATTAGTCTTCCAATTGCCTGGATTTCATATTATTAAAGCATTTGTTGCTTCCACTTTGAATTGAATGAGTTGATTTTGATGCGGCCTCTGCTAAGTCTGTTTTTCATGTTTTAAAAGTGATATGTTTCAAATGCAGTCCTCCAATTTTTATTTTTATTTTAATTTTTTACAATGGTCTCTTAGCGAGATATTAAAGCCGGTTTGAATTTGTCAGAAAATGTTGAAAGTAAAGTGTATCTTTTTTTTTTTTTTGGGATACAGTAAAGTGTACCTCTTATTAGTAATGGATCTTCATTTTCTACTTT